AGAGTTGACTTTTCCTTCTGCCTCACCAATCACATTGATCACAGCACCAGCGATTCTCCGTCGGTCCGTCTCCCTGCGCGCGTGTTCTCTGCGTTCCTCAGATGTTTATTTTATAATTATTTTTGAGATGAACATTGCTGCCAAGAAGATCTGTCCTCGGATCTATCTTATATGATAATCATGCATGAAGCATTGGAACAGTTTTCAAAAAATCTTTGACATTCACACTCTGGATACTTTTTTCTTACCGTGTAGCTAGTTTTCAATAAAAGCCCCGTTTTGAGACAAGCGAACAAGCAAACAAAAAAAATACATAAATGAAAACCATAAAAAGTTACATTGTTTTCTCGATTTTCCTTTGGATTTTCCCTGGATCGGTCACAAGTGGCAGGTGAATATAAGACTATAATGCTTTGGGGCCGGAATACCACCGAAACAATGCCTGGGAAGATGTATTCATCCGTAAGATCGAACGAATTCGTCGAGAGGAGGTCGGTTACTTGCCCCGGATGCGTTGTGTGAGCTCTTGGACGACGACGTCGGTGCTGATGTGTGTGTTGACGTTCGGAATACCCGTTAAATATGGACTGACCGATGCACCGAGGGAATAGAGAAGTGAACTCCTGGTGGATTATGAAGAGAATTTTAATCTGAAGAGATTTTAAAGGACATTCAATAGAAATTCTGAGGAAAGTTCCATGGAAATTCTGATGACAATTCGAAGGAAATCAAAATACAAGGACATTTGCAAATGAATTCTGAGGTTTCAAGGAGTTTTTTGAAGGAATCCTAGGAAACTCTGAGAAAAATTCAATTGCAATTCTAAGGATTTCAAAGTGATAGAGCCTCTGAGCATAATCTGAAAGGAATACCGACAAGGTTCTGAGGATAATTTCCAGGGAACTCGGACAAGAATTGCAAGAGGATTATGAGAAGAGAATTTCAAGAATTTTCAGGAAGCAAGTTAATTCTAAGATGAAATTTCTAGACATTTTTAGGAGAGCTCAAAAATAATTCTGAGTAAAATTTCAAGGCAATTCTGAAGTGAACTCCTAAGAATTATGAGGATACTTCTTGGGTTAATATGGAGAGTATACCACAAGAAACATTCCAGATGGTTTTACATGAGAATAATGCATACCGAGTATTGCCGGGTCCTGTTTGGCGTCCAACAACGATGTCTTCTCTGTCGCGGATGACTGTGGCTTTGGTTAGAAGCACGGACTGATGAAATCTGTAGCAAAAATTGCCGCCAACAAGCGCGAGTCATTGACAACTGAACATCTTTTACTTGTAAGCAAATGTTAACTCGATGTGTTCACCCCTAATCATTTTGGCCTATGGTCTTTCATTATACAAAAGAAGTGCAGATAGCAACGTAAACATCATAATGACATGTTGTTTGACAACAGGCTTTCCCTTTCAATTTTCGTTAGAGAAAAGGAGATAACAGGCGATACCCCAATAGCATCTACTACATTAAGCTAGTACATATGAGTAGATAGTGTTGCTGTGAGGTACACTCGAAATTTTCAAGTGTAGGTGCGTCAAATCAAATTTCGAGCCGCTCCGTCTGTCACTTCGTTTGTGCTTTTACTTTCTCTGCCGCTTCTCCGTTTAAAAGGGCATCATAGCATGCAGCGCGCTAGGCGTGCACTTGAACCGTGCGCAAAGCGAAGGGCATCTGCTCGATAGGGAAATGAGGATAGAACGCTAGCCCATAAAAAGGTCGTAAAAGATTCGATACGCGGTGGTACGGTCGAGTATTAGAAGAACAATACTTAAATAAGCAAGGGCGCATTTATAGAACCAGCTAGAAGATGTTAGGGAAGGTTCAGTAAATTACCTGCAAGAGGTAAGGCCCGCGTCTACTTTAAGAAGTAAATTGTTTAAGAATTGTAGCGCGGGACTCCCGAAAATAGAAGAAAGGTAATAAAATTCGGGACGCAATAAAACCATATCGTCACTTAAGCGATGCATTGAAGGCCATAGGACTTGTACGTAGGGACTTGAGCGTAGGTGAATTAGACCCTTGCATAGCAGCAAAGCGCACATGCGCACGATGTACCAACGCCCAAATTCTAGGGCCCCGACCCGCTATATAAGCGGAACTTTTTAAGAAATAAAACCAGTGTGTGTGTGTTATTTGACTATTCGTTGATACAGCTCACTCATCCGAAACCCAATCGGTAAGTTATATCAGGTCTTGAGTCTGAATTGGTTAGCAATCCAGCCGAAAGATTGTATCCGGAAGCCCCTTACTCGCCACCAACTAAATTTGGCAAGTGATACCGGACTCTCTTTAGGTGGAACCCAACCAATTGGAATCAATTACAGATTGTGGCAACTAGTCAGCAGTCTGGATTGAAGAGATCTGGTTAACTTGGATCTTCACGAATCCTTGAAGAAGGAAAACTCTGCTCACAAAACCTCCCCATCCTAGCACACGTGAGCCGATTACCTTCGCATCGGCTTGGCAACCGTTTGAATCGTAACCCTAAACGATTCTCGCAACGGGAACCAAAAGACCCTCACGGGTGCGAAACACCAACCTAGTATCCCCAACTCCTGACCAAAACAAAAACCCAATCCCAATACGATCCCGTGAGCAACACAAAACATTATAAGTGTTTCTTTCAATTTCAACTTGTAATTTCAAAAGTTATTTTTTTTAAATAAAAGTAGCAGATCTTTCAAAACTTCATCGTCATTGCGAAGATTTTGGCATCACTTGACCTTCGTTTGCCTCTAAATTTGAAAGCGTGAAAAATAAACCATATTACCAACAATCAATACGAAACTAACGATTTCAAATTGGCTCACTACTTGACTAGCCTATTGGTCCCAAGCAAATCGATTAACGTACCCCACACGGATACGAATTTTGTTTATTTAAAACAAAAATATAAATGTTTATACTCTAAACATATGAATTATTCAAATTAAATTGAAAGCATGTTTAAAACTAAAATATTTACGTTTGAATAAAATTCAAAAGCATGTTTATTTCAACAATATAAAATTTGGGTAAACGGTTTTTAGCATGTCATGCCATGTTACATTCGGAAAAAGTTGCCCCAGCTTTGCTCAACCTCAACAGAAAACGGCCATCCATTCCGAATCCATTCCGGATCCTCCTCCGACACCGAACATAGAAAGAAACCGGTATGAGGACCAGTGGCAGAAACCGAGGCAGAAACGGCAAAACGACGTTATTAACACAAATTTGCACCGGTTTCACTGAACTGGAACCCACGGACACCCACCCTGACGGGTCATCGCATCCCCGACCAGGACCCCAATACCCACAGCTCACCCTCAATTGCACCCGAAAAAGAGCAGGAATTAAGATGCCCTGCCCGAAGATCTTTTTTTTTTCATTTCTTTGCAAACCGTTTTATTTTGCTTTACCCTGCACTCAACTACTAAAATAATTTCAAAATATGTATGTTTAAAATAAACATATTTATTATTGTTCGCATAGCTGTCAAACCAAACAAAAATAAATACGTTTATTTTCAACACGAATATTTTTGAAATAAACATAACATTATTTTTGTTTTAAACATTGATTTCACATGACTTCCAACATGGAATACGTTTGAAATCAACCTAATTTATGTTTGTGGCCAGAACAAACTGAGTTTACGTTCAAATTTACCTTAAATATTTTTGTTTCGACCATAGTTTTTTCTGCGTGCATGATTAAACTGGGATTAATATCAGATGCTTATTTTTTAGAAAGCGAGGATTAATTTTTAATCATTTGATATGATTAAACTGAGTTTAATGTCAAATTGATTAAATTTCAAGCAAAATGGGAAGAATTCAATTTATCAGTGTAGAAACCCGCATAAACGCGAACCATACATTGACCTTACCTAAAATGGTTAAAAATTGTGTATGATCCCTGCTAAACTTTAACTGAAATGGTTATGGAACTTTACATGAACGTTTAATGATAAAGTTTCAACCTTATGTATTATGGTTTTTTGGAACTGGACCTTACAAATAATGGGTTGTTAAGAACCATTACCGTTCCAAATTCTTGTTTTCTCCATACATTTTCGGAAGAGAACTATATTAGAACCTTTTAACTTATGGTTTGAGAACTTTAATGGTAATGGTTATGGTAGTCAGTAAGGTCCACGAATGGTTTTGAAACATCGATCAACTTTATGTGGAATATATCGCGAATTGGTTACCTGTAATTTACTGATTACCAATTCACGATATATTCCACTTAAAGTTGAACGATAATACAAAACCATTAATGGACCTTACTGACTACCATAACCATTACCATTAATGTTCTCAAATCATAAGTAAAAACGTTCTTATATAGTTCTCTTTCTGAAAATGTATGGAGAAAACAAGAATTTGGAATGGTAATGGTTCTTAACAACCCATTATTTGTAAGGTCCAGTTCCAAAAAACCATAATACATAAGGTTGAAACTTTATCATTAAACGTTCATGTAAAGTTCCATAACCATTTCAGTTAAAGTTTAGCAGGGATTATAAACAATTTTTAACCATTTTAGGTAAGGTCAATTTATGGTTCGCGTTTATGCGGGAATGTAGCCAAAATTTGTGCGTTACATAAAATAATACTAATTTCAGGGGAAACATGTCAGAAGGGTATAACTCGAAACGTAAACAATGACTTTGAACGTCGATTTCTCTTGAGTGACGACACACACACGGAATCTGACTACACCAGCTCATAGAACGAACATTTTTCTGTCAGATGCTTTAGTTAGTTTGAGTGCGTGTGTTGTCATTCGTAAGAAACCGACGATCCAAGTCATTGTTTACGTTTCGAGTTAGACCCTTCTGACATGTTTCCCCTGAATTTGTTATTTTCCGTGTACAGAGATGCAAGTCGTTATTGCGTTGTGAACTGAGTCCAATCCTTCGATTTGAAACGTCACGAAATTGGTGCCCGCCGCGGCCGCCGCGGCGGCTACAAGAGTACCGGTTCGTCGGTGTCGGCCATTTTTGAGTGAAAAGCAGGCAGAAGAAGATCAGACACGCACGCCGAAAGTTGCTGCGTCTCATATGTGATTCCTCTTCGACGAGTGTTGATTGAAATTTTCTTTCTGCCATTTAGCAGAAAAGATTTGAGAAGTGAACGGTTTTTAAAAAGATTCAAAACGGCGTCTAAAACAGATATGAGTAGCTACGGTCGGCCTCCGCCAAGGATCGACGGGATGATTTCGCTCAAGGTAAGTGAGACCGGTACGGTGCCATGTTTTCCACCTTTCACCAACCACTTGGGAAATCTGAACAAAAATGGAGGTCAGGTAGCTGGTTTTCGTTGAGCTTTTTTTTTTTGGTTGTAGTTAAAAATTGGGTTAAATTTTGTTTGGTTTTCAGTTAAAATCATGGTAACATGGTGAAATTTGGGGAAATCCTCAACCGGGGTACAATTTAATACCGAATAAGCGTTATTTGATTTTTTTCATTGCTGGAACGCTAGCGCTGATACTCGATGTGTATTGGTGAAATTCCATTGTCACTAACACATTGAAGCTGCTAATAGTTTCACGCTACGGTTTACGGGTTTTCGGTGGATGAAAACATCAAAACAAGTTTAATGTTAATAGGGATGGTCCATTTTATAAATCTGCTTGAAGTAAAAAATAAACTGTTTTTCTATTATCCTCAACAGGTTGATAATTTGACCTATCGGACAACTCCGGACGATTTGCGGCGCGTGTTCGAACGTTGCGGTGAAGTAGGTGACATCTACATTCCTCGTGACCGCCATACGCGCGAAAGCCGTGGTTTTGCATTTGTCAGGTAAGTCAATGCTGTAAAAGATCAGAAAATTTTCAAATGTTACAATGGATATTGCTCATCGCAGATTCTTCGACAAACGTGACGCCCAAGATGCTCTGGACGCCATGGACGGACGCATGTTGGATGGCAGGGAGTTGCGTGTCCAGATGGCTCGCTATGGCCGGCCAACTTCGCCCCAGCGTGGAGGTGGCGGCGGCGGTGGTCGACGATATGGTGGAGGACGCGAACGGGGTCGTTCCCGTGATCGCCATCGTCGTCGTTCCCGCTCGCCAGATCGTCCCCGTGGTGGAGTCCGTCGGTCATACTCCCGATCACGATCACGCTCCCGGGACCGATCCCGTTCCGGAAGCAAATCATCCCGTGGTAAGGAGTCCAGATCCCGCAGCCCCCTGGATCGGGCCACACATTACTAAGGCCCTACAATTTCTACGGGCCCCCCGATTGCAGAAAGTTAGGACCGTAAGTATCCTTTTGTTGGTTAATAATATTTCTTTTTCGCACTCGTAACCTAATTGAGGATCGTTTTTACTTGCTTCCTGCAGAGAATATGATCCAGCCAAAACAAACGCAGCGAAAACATTATATAACCCGTTTAGAGTGAACGTATGCGTTTAATTAACGTAATTTTACTACTCTCAGCGACAAAACTTATTTAAAACCAAACAAACCAGAATGCAGACGACAAACAAATGGTGTGGATTGATTTATAGTAAGTGCGAAAAGAAGGGCAGCAACCGGAAGGAACTACGATGATTGTGACGACAACGACTATGGGAAACCACTCATAAAGTCAGCAGGTAATTTGATAAAACCGATATTTTTTATTACTGCAAAATTGTTCCTTCAAAAGATGTTCGCATAGGAATGCGGTTGCTTCAGTAGGTTGCCTGTTTTCGTGGAAGCTCTAGAATAGCTGAACTCTTGTAAATTTACCAATAATTGAACGAGTTGGGATTTTGCTTTGCGCATTTCTCAAGAAAATGTCAGCTATGTGGTGGTATTTTTGTTAATTGGAAAATCAGAAACAATGTTTGTTTTTTTTTTCAATTGTTTGATTAGGCTCAAATGTCTTTCGACTGAAGATCCATTCCGTCAGCATATCAATGTAGAAATTTACTTAGAGCTTTTGGGGGGTCTCGGTCTTTGGCCGAATCGAATACCGACTATGCGACACCATTACTATTCGGTAAGCCGAATATTTTGTGAAAAATTCGACTATCCAAACACTGGAAAACAAGCAGTTGATGCAAAATATGAACATAATTTAAAGGTAATTCTCTAGCAACAATCGAAAAGGATTCATCAGCTTTTGTGAACAAAATTTTTTAATGGAAAATTCTCCCCTTCCCGATGGTGTGTTGGTTTGCGTTGCGGTAGAAGTGCTTTGACTCGTGTGCAAATGGTGTTTTCAGTTTTGGAACTTATTCTATTGTGGTTCTGTCACAATAAATGCAAAAAGCTAACAATATTTCCTCTGGGTTGCTTATTATTACCCCAGAGCAAAATCGGATTCCTACGCACTTTTAAGCGAGGGCTGTAGAAGTAACACTTCATTCATCATTCGTTCACGCATTTGATGTTGAATTTAAATATAATTAGTTTCGCGAATTACCTGCTGCCAGCATGGGATAAATTTGACGGTCATGCACAACAGTTCACTCAGTCTATGACCGCGGCCAGAGTAGACACGAAACGCAACCAATTCAAAATAATCTTATTATTTATTATTATTTCTTGCGTGAGTCGCGTGTCGCGTGTACTCTGGCCACGGCCTATGCGACCTGCGTTTTTTTTGGGAATTTGAGTAACTGTAATGAATCACTGCTGTCGGACTTAGTTTCCGTGCTACAATGGGTGGTAAACCACTATCATAGCATCATGTAATGAATCATGTTTTTTCTACACAAAAATTAAACTTCAAAATTTTCAACTGCTAACCGCAAGAAAACGGCATTCAAAGTTTTCTCATTTTACGCTTATTTTGGAGGGATAATTTTGAAAATAGACGTACAATGGATAAAATGCATCTATGTTTAGTAAAGAATATCGGATAAAATATCGTGAAATTTTTGTTTTAAGGCCTAAATCTAAGTGGGGACTTACGATAACATTTAACGTCAATGAGAAAATTAACCGCAAGTCAGTCACACAATGCCATGACGCGATGCTGCAGTAGTTTAGCATAGTATTGAACAGTAGAAAGAAACCATGGTCCCATAGATCGTTATTGAATATTTTTGGAGTCGGTCCGTTGATCCCAGAGCTATCGCCGGAACATATTTCGGCGAGTATGGGTCTTAAGACCAGACATTTTGAAAAACGTCAAACTCACCATGCGATAAATCAACTCATATTAGAATTCGAGAATTAAGATCAATAAGAATCATGATGAGTAACCAGTACCATGTTCGACACACTCGGACATGTTCCGGATATCGTCGGGGAAGTGGTAAAACCTTTTAAAATCAAAATCCATCATGCGGCACATCAAATCACATAAGAATTCAAAGCCATATCCACTGGCGGTCATATTGAGGGTCGTAAGAGCTATATTGGCCACACCCGGACATTTTCGGGATACCCTAGGGGAAATGGACAGAATCTGTCTTGAGTCAAAACTCATGATGCGATATGTTGTATAACATTCCTAATTCTATAGAAGCAAGTCTAAAAACATAGATTGAGAGATTTCTATGCCTACCAATTCAATGCATGAATTTGTATATTGTGTGGCAAGCACAATCATACTCCATATGCCCAGGGAAGTTGAGAACCTTTTCACCCGAAAGATTTTCTCGACCGAACAGGGAATCGAACCCGCTACCTCCGTCTTGGTATGACCGTGCCTTTACTGACTAGGCTATCTGAGGCCCCAGCAGATACGTCCTTTTGAAAATTCATCCTTGATATCATCACTGCTTACATGTGTCAGTTTCGCCCTGGAAATGGTGATGCCGATTTTTGAAATTGCAATGTTTACCACATTTGAGTTGATAATTGATCTCGACAAAAAAAAAGATAGGATATACCTTTATGTCGCTATAGTCGTTTAGTCGGATATCACCGTTCTCGAAAAAAAAGCTTCTTTTTTCCAAATTCTTCCTTACCTAAAAATGTACAAATTCACACATTTTTGTTAATAACCTACATCCTGAAATTGAAAACTCACGCACACTACTACGATAAGTAATACTCGCCCCACAGCAAAAAAAAAACTCAAAGCAATCAAAACCGAGTAGTTAGCATCTTATAACCACTGAGACAATATACAAACTAATTCAATACTACCTCATATTCAAATATCGACTCTACGGAATGCACTCGCCCTGCATTCAGTATAGCAGCGAAAAATCAATCAAAATTAAATTATATGTAATGTTTCAATTACACAGGGCAAATTGCGGTTGCATGCTGCTCACTTGCTGCTAGCTGCTGTTGCCTGTTTATCAGAGAGAGAGAGAGACACCGATTGAACGCGACTTGAAAAATAAAAAAGAATCGAGCCGTGCGCGCGAGCGGTTGCTGACGTTGCAGCGTGTTCCCTCCCGATCCGGTCTCCGGTCTGAGATTTTCTGTGGCAGACCACGTTCGTCGACCTTTGGCCGCGCTGAGTTTGCCCGTTAGCATTGTATTACTTCACGAGTTTGCTGCCTTGCTGAATTGTATCGCTCTGGCTGGCTGAGAAGAAGCTGTTATGTTGGGAGTAGTTCCGGTAGGAGTGGCCCCCCCGCGACGACGACCAACTGCTGCTGCTGGTGGTGGTGGTGGTGGTGGCGGCGTTGGAAATGATGCAGGACGCAGGTCTTCGCTTTAGATCCGGGAACAACTGCTGCTACCTATCTACGAGTACCTTGAGCGGTGAAACTTTCTGCTCCTTGCAAGAGCGGTTCCCTTGGAGGCGGTTTGATTTTGCCCCTGCTGGCCCTGGTGTTGCTGCTGCTGTTGCCGTTGCCGCCGAATTTCTTTCTCTCTCTTTCTTTTCTTTTCCTTCTTTTTCTAGTGCTCAGTGTTGGCTTTTTCCCAACTTTTGTGTTCTGTTTTTATTTATTTGCTCCCAAAGTATTCTTGCATGTCTGTACCGATGAGCGATGCTGACACACACGAGATACACGCGAGCAGACAGACAGAAAGAGAGCACATGAATGTGAAGCTGAGCCAGATCTTTTGCCGGGGGTTTTATTCCGGGGCAGCACACAGCGGAGTTTAGAGATCAGGTGCCAATGAGCGCACGTGGAAGAGCAGAAGTTGGGGAATGTTTTGTTGCAGAGAGCGAGAAAGGAGGGTGTATGTGTCCAGAAAACTCGGCAAGGCCCGGGTCGAATACCACGAGTTCGAGAATTTCTCTTTCTAGGTTACTGATATCATTACCGTTAAGTTCCAGCCATCTGTTCCCGACCAGATCCAAACATAGATTAGTTTTATATTTTCAGATAAGACCCTATCTCCCACCACAACAATCTTCGCCTATTCCGAACAAACTTGACACGGAAACCCAACATCATCGACGGTATCTCCCGGAAGCCCTACTCTTGAATGCAACAAATACATTACTTCAACAGACGGTAAGTCTGAATGGATTAACTTTTGAAAATGAAAATTTTTCTCACCTAATTATCGGACACAAATTTAATTTTACTTCATTAAAACAATTTTAATTATAAGCCACAATGCATATAAAAAAGAATGAAATAAATGGTAATACAATTCCCCTTACGTCTTAGTCGCCAGAAACAATAGTGAATTTTATTGAATCCGAAATTCGTAAATTTAGTAGTTGAAAAAGTTTCCATCACCGGTTTGTCGCGAGTAGCCCGGATTCGTCAGTGGCGTGTGCGGTCCTGTGTTCATCAGCTTGACGCTGTTGGGCGATGCCTTTTCCTGCAGGCCACCGATTTGCAGCGGGTGCTTCAGGGGGATAATCTTCTCCGGACTCAGATCCCGGGTGTTGCGCAGTCGACGGAAGGTGACCTGCCCGATGGTTTCCTCCTGCAGGACGACATCGTTTTTTCCCTTGAATATCTCCTCCGAATGGTTGTACTGCGAAGCTAGGTTAATGTCCAGTGAGTCACGCGGGATGGGGCTGTGAAATGGGAGAAAAACGAGGTCACGAAGTGTCAGTTTGGGTTGCTGAGGGGTCATAGTAACAGTTGTTTGTTGTTTGTTGTTGTTTATTGAAAAATTCAACTGACAATTACTGTCTAAATGAATAAAACTTAAACTAAATAGTTACGGTCAACAGTACGGAAAAGGCCAAGTAGCCGATGACGAAACACGTCAGCTGATACATTGAAGTCGAACATATAAAAAAAGTTGTTGAATTGCCGGCTGATTGCTCGAATTGGGCCGTGTTGTGTATAATTCCGGCTCCGTGGTTCCAAAAACAGAAAGTCGCGTTGACGAAGAGACCTCTCAGGGGCATACATATTTAGCTGTGACAGCAGTGTTGGACAGTCAATGTCACCTGTAAGCAGCTTTCCAGCGAACATAGCTTGAGCGACCGTCCGTCTCACCTCTAATGGCTCGATTCCCAGGAGACGGCAACGCTCCTCGTACGGTGGCAAGTTCGTTGGGTCACGCCAGTTGAGGAAACGAAGAGCATATCTCACAAACTTGCGTTGAACGGATTCAATTCTAGTGATCCAGCTAGCATGGAAAGGGCACCAAACAACTGAACTTGACTCCAATAAGGATCGCACAAGCGAGCAGTAAAGTGACCTGAGACATAGCGGGTCACGAAACTCGTCGGCAATTTTGAAAATAAAGCCCAATTGTCGATTAGCTCTGGAAATGATGTCATTGTAGTGGATTCTGAAAGTGAGTCTGCAGTCCAAGGTAACGCCGAGATCCTTTATGTGCTCTACACGAGCAAGACAGCGTCCGTAGAGAACATAGTCAAACATGATTGGTTCGATTTTTCGGTGATAGGAAATAATGTTACATTTTTCTATGCTTAGACTCATCAAATTTCTTGAGCACCAGTCAGCAAAAATACCTAACATATTCTGGAGATCCCAGCAGTCCGAGAGGCTTTTAATAATTTTGTAGATTTTCGTATCGTCTGCATAGAAAAAGCGGCATCCTGATGGTATCAGCAAGGCGACATCGTTTAAAAAGATCGAAAATAGTAGCGGTCCTAGGTTACTGCCTTGCGGGACTCCCGAGTTGTTTGAGAAAACATCCGATTCCGACGCGCCAATCTTGACATGTACATAGCGATTCACCAAGTAAGATCTGAACCAATCCACAGCAGTTGACGAGATGCCAAGTATCTCCAGCTTGGCCAGCAGGATATTATGGTCCACCGTGTCAAATGCAGCTTTTAGATCCATATACGCAGTATCGACTTGCCATCCTAAATCCATGCATCGCAGACAGTTAGAAGTGAACTGCACCAGGTTCGTGGACACGGAGTGCTTCGGGTAGAAACCGTGTTGTTCTGTATCGATATAATTTTTGCAGCGTGCGAACAGAGCACCATTTATGATAATCTCGAACAGTTTTGAGCAGGCACACAGGGAGGTGATTCCACGATAATTTATGACATTCCGTTTATCTCCTTTTTTGTGCACTGGGAACAGATAAGAAAGTTTCCAGTGGCAGGGGAACTCACATTGCTGTGCCGAGAGATTGAATAGCCTCGCAAGTGGAAGGCAGAGATTGGCTACACAACGTTTTAGAACTGATGACGGAATGCCGTCAGGTCCGGAGGCGAACGAGAGCTTCAGTTTGCGTGTTGCGGCTATCACCATGTCTTCTGAAATGCGCGGAATAACGAAACTAAACACATCACGTGGCATCCCAACAGCAGCATCCAGCACTTGTGTTGGCGAAGCGGAGAAATCGTTGAACACTTGCTTGAAATGACGAGTAAACAAGTCGCATTCTCATTCTCTTTCACTATTAGCCGAGTCATTCCCGAGAAACAGGGAACAAGGCAATCCGGATTCCTTCCGTTTTGAGTTGACAAACGACCAAAAACTTTTCGGATTCGTGCGAAGGTTCGCTTCCGTGCGTCTCACGTGTCGATTGTAGAGAAAACGATTGTAATTTCGATAACTACGACTCGCAAAATTGAACAGTCGTTTGTAGTACGGCGAGCGAGAGTTACAATACTTTCGGAGGGCGGCAGAGCGTTGACGTTTTAGCACGCGTAGGCGTGGGTTAGACCATGCAGGCTTTAGCGGAGGTCGTCGAGCTGGGACAATGCGGAAAATAGCATCTTCCAGTGCAGCACTGAAAAAATCCACTGCATCATTCACGCTAGCGGCAGTTTCGATAAATTGCCAATCAATTTCCGCAAGCGCATTGTTCAATGCAACATAATCGGCCCGGCGAAAGTCCAAAGAGTAGTAGTAGTAGTAAACTAAATGATACGACGAGAGCGGGATGATCGGCATCTCGATCAATCAGTGGCTCGACCGGCAAGGAAACAGAAGTGCCCGGAAGTGCGGAACCATTTGCCAGGACAAGATCTAGCAAACGTCCACTTCGGTTCGGAAAAGTATTCACTTGTGTGAACCCGTAAAAGCTAAAACCGTCCAAAAGAGCACAGCAAGCAACCGGCATATGCGAAAGCAGTGGATCAATTAATGGTGTGCCACTGTCTGTAAAGCGCAACTGCAGACCAGCTTGATTGTAGTTACCAAATACGAAAGCGGGAGAGCAGGGACTTAATTGTGACGAAATTGACCCTAACGATTCCACATGCTCACGGATGATCGTGCAGTCGTTTTTGCGGTCGGGAGGCAGGAAGATTGCGCATACACTAAGCTTGCTTTGTGGAAGTTCTACGACAATCCACAGCTGTTCCAGTTGACTGGAAATGGGTGACGTACTTACGTAGCTGGCTAGTCTAGTAGATACTGCAATCAGGACTCCGCCACCGCGCGATTTTTGACTGTTTAGGGCAGACCGGTCAGTTCTGAAGACGGAATAGAGTGACCCGAAAAGTTGCGGTGAGTAAATTCGGTCGTCCAGCCACGTTTCCGTCAGCACAATCAAATCATATTCGGCCTCCGCAACAGCCAGGAAAAACGAGTCGATTTTAGTCCTTAGCCCACGCACGTTTTGGTAGTAGATCCGGAGACCATTCGAGGAGCAATCACGGGAACTAGAAATCGAAAGGACATCAGGTACCGAAAGCTCGGAATCGCTAACATACTCGCCTGAGGTTGCAGGCCGGAAGCCCCCGATACCATCACCGACCACAGGACCGGGACGATGACGATGGCGGATGTCTGCAGCAAGCGCGACTGGGTCGGGAGGTTCGGAAGCTTCCTCAGTGCCTGTTTTAGGGTGTCCCGGATCCGAGGAAGAGCAGGTGGCGGCATAAATCTGCTGATAGTTAACCCTTTCCCGACCCCAGAGTGTTTTGGCATCATCAATTTTAAATTCCAAACCAGTATCTAAGCAATTGGCCTGGGATTTTCTTCTGATAAAGAAGAACTAGTATGCAAACTATGTTATAATATAAAAAATGGGTTGTAATTTCGGAAAGTTGTGGCTCATAATGTCAAAAAGGCATGGTGCTCCAGAGTAAACATGGGCGGGAAAGAGTTAAAAGGTACCAGATAAAATGCGGAATGAAAGAGGGAACGGCAACCAAGATGCCAAGGTCTCAGAATTTTATGAAATGTTGTTTACATGTAGAGTTTATCAAATATGGACCAACAGGTTTGTGCCATAAAAAGAGCGTGGTAAAGTTTATAGTTTCGTAACAACTCATGAACCAAGCATCGTTAAAATAACGTTGTGTACTGAAAGGATAACAATCTATAAAAAATGTAAACTGGAAAATCCCGGGGCATTGGCAAAACCTTGAGGGTTGCTTAAGGTGATTCCCTGTAGCGTCCTTTTTCGTGTTACACTTTGCAATTTCACATTTAAAAATAATAAGGTTTATGTAGCTGAAACTACTACTTGTTGTTGTTGCTGTGGAGAAGCAAGGAATGTCTGAAATTTTCAGATGTATGCACCTCGTAGATCTTGAGATATGTGCTCTTGAAATTGTCAGGTGTGACGGAAAAACGGACTCTACGAGGAAACACCTTAACTGCAACCAGGTCCCAGGGCTTGTTTTTTTTTTTTTCCTTTTGTTTGTTTTTTCCGTCGATCTTGTTTTCCGTGCTGAGCACCAATGCTACCGACGTGCCAGGAAGGCAGCTCCCACACCTGGACCCTACCTATCGACCCATCAACTCATGAACCGGGGACCAACGGCTTTACTTCCCATCCGAAGGAAGGCGTGATCAGAGATGTTATGCCTCAGAACATCCCGGCGGCGCCGACTGGTATTGAACCCAGGCCTGCTGGGGTGAGAGGTAATCACGCTTACCACTACACCACCGGCGCCGTTCAGGGCTTGTCTGTATCTTTACATTTTGAAAGATGCACACTAGTGATGCCAGTTGTGATGTAGCGTACCAAAAGTTTGTAGGAATTTAACTACAAACCAAAATTAAATAATTGTGTAGTTTAGAATTATGATTTTAACAATGAATTGTTTTTCCTAAATAATTGAGTCTAATGGCTGCAAAAATAAAAAGATTTTTTTTATTATTCATTAGGTTTAACACTTTTGGAATGCTAGGTGTTGGCGGGGCATACAGGGCTGGTAGCAGGTCACTTTTTAGTGACTTGGTCACTATTTTGAAGCCACTCACTAAAAAGTCACTTTTTACACCAAAAAGTCACTATTTCCCTAAAAATAGTCACTAAAGTCACTTTTTCACTACTAAAATACAGTGTAATTTAAAAATATCAGCAAAATGTTTAAATTGGGTACATATATACCCAAAGTATACAGATATGTTAAAAAATTGAACATTTTGACCAGGGTGACCAGCAAAGTTTAGAACACCAGGAAAACTATGGGGAAATGCCTTCAATTTTCATTAAAAATCGGGGAAAATATACCTTCTTTCTCAGAAAACAAATTGTATACATTGGAAACTTTCCAAAGGTATTTGTCTGTGATAGATTTTCAAAAGTCTTTCAATGATGATTAAGAACTAAATAAATTTAAGAGAATTTTAAAGGACTCTAGGGATGACACCAAGATATATCAGAGAAGAATAACAA